TATGTATATGAACAGTCTCCTTAATGCAATCCAAAGCAAATAAACAAATAAACAAACAAATAAACAAACAAATAAATAAATAAATAAATAAATAAGATGCGCGGATGTGTTGCGTAGATGGATGAGTACGACAGAAGCGCAATCTACGAAGTGATGGAGCAGCAAAGTGTCTCCGTCGCTAAGGCGGGGCACTGCACGTCTCTGCCTGCTCGCACTGCTGTTCTTGCTGCTGCAAACCCTAAGGACGGGCGGTTAGACTTCTTCTAATATCTTCTCCTGCTGCTGCTCCTGCTGCTGCTGCTCCTGCTGCTGGTAGTGGTGGTGATAGTGGTGGTGGTGGTGGTGCTGCTGCTGCTGCTGTTGTTGTTGCTGCTGTTGTTGCTGTTGTTGCTGCTGTTGCTGTTGTTGTTGATGCTGCTGCTGCTGTTGGTGTTTTGCTGCTTTGCTGCTGCTGCGGGTGTTTTGCTGTTGCTGCTGCTGCTGCTCCCTGTTGCACTAGCTGCAGTCCATGCAAGCCTTGTTGCTGCTGCTGCATTTGCTGCTGCTGCTGCTGCTGCATTTGGGGTGTATGTGCAGCTACGATGTACGAAAGTCGATGATGGCTAATATGAATTTACCCGCTGCTCTTCTCTCAAGGTCAGACCCTTTGCTTTTTATTTATTTATTTATTTATCTATTTATTTGTTTATTTATTTATTTATTTATTTATTTACTTGTTTTATTTATTTATTTATTTATTTGTTTGTTTGATTTGTTTGTTTATTTCTTTTATTTGTTTTATTTGTTTGTTTTATTTGTTTTATTTGTCTTCTTTGTTTTATTTATTTTATTTCTTTTGTTGTATTTGTTCAGTTTGCTTTTTATTTTGTTTGTTTTATTTGTTTAATTTATTTTATTAGTTTTGTTTGTTAATAGAGAAGAAAGCTATTAAAGAGACATCTCTGCTGCTCTCATCTCTTGTGTTGCTGCTGCCTGTCTCCTCTGTCTCCTTCTCTGTCTCCTCTTTAGGTGTATGCGTCTCTTCTTGCTTTTATCTTTTTTTATATCTTATCTTTTGTATATTATTTTATTTTATTATGTTGGGCTGTCTCCTTTTAGTTTATTAAATTTTGTTATTTATATTTTGTTTTTATTTCTGTCTTTTTCTGCTTTTTGTTTATTTATATAATAGTATTTATTATATATAAATATATAACAATATCTATATTAAACAATACTATATAATATATATAATATATATTATATATATATTATATATAATATATATTATATAGTATTAGCAGTTTTAATATGTCTCTTTGTCTTAGGTTTGACTTACAGTTTCTGCTGTTAGACAAAGCCGATGCAGAGACAGACGCGAAGATGGCTGAGCATATTTTGTCTCTTTTCTTGTCTCCTGGAGAAGCTCCTAAACAAAGAAGAAGAGGAGGCAGGAGACAGCAGCAGCAGCAGCAGCAGCAGCAGCAGCATCCACAATTCGTTGATAAGAATGTTCTCAGGGCATTCATAGATGCTGCAAAAAAAATACAGCCAGTGCTTAGCGAGTAATAAACCCTAAACCCTAAACCCTAAACCCTTAGACTGTCTCTTATCTCCTCTCATATATACACGAACCAACACCCATCTCAGTGCCTGTCTATCTTTTTAGGGTTTAGGGTTTAGGGTTTAGGGTTTAGGGTTTAGGGTTTAGGGTTTAGGGTTTAGGGTTTGAGGGAGAAGGGCTCCTTAGCCACCGTCTCTGAAGATGCAAGAGAAGGTCTAGGGTTTAGAGTTTATGTGCAGGAGTTTATTGCCTCACATAAGCGAGTGGTATGCGTCTACGCGGTTTGACGAGCAGCAAGAAGAGAGACTGTCAGGCGTCTTGTCCTCCTACACAACGCCCAGGGCTCTGCTCGGTCTCCTGAGACTCTCGCAAGTAAGCAATGCTCATTCTACTGTCTCCTTTATGCTGTCTCCTTTATGCTGTCTCCTTTATGCTGTCTCCTTTATACTGTCTCCTTCGCTCTGTCTCCTTTACGCTGTCTCCTTTGTACTGTCTCCTTTGTACTGTCTCCTTTGCTCTGTCTCCTTTATGCTGTCTCCTTTTGCTGTCTCCTTTTGCTGTCTCCTTTTGCTGTCTCTTTTATTTTGTCTCCTTTCTTTGTTTCTTCTATATCTCGCTTTTGTCTCCTTTTACTGTCTCCTTTTGCTGTCTCCTTTTGCTGTCTCCTTTAGGCTGTCTCCTTTTACTGTCTCCTTTTACCGTCTCCTTTCTGTATCTAATAGATGACATAGCCGCTGTCTGTCTCCTTTTGTTTGCTGTTTTTGTTTATATTTATTTAAAATACAGCATCGTGTGTCTCCTTCTGTCTCCTTTTGTTTATATTTGTTTAATATAAACAATAAAGTTTTAAAAACATCTTTATATTTGTTTAAATGAATAAATATGTGTCTCCTTGTGTCTGCTGCTGTCTCCTTTTGTCTGCTGCTGTCTCCTTGTGTCTGCTGCTGTCTCCTTTTGTCTGCTGCTGTCTCCTTTTGTCTGCTGCTGTTGATATTTGCTGCAGGCGTTAGCTCGGCTTCGTCAGTCTTGGCTGGTGGAGACAGCAGATTTTGAAGAGGCTCTTCGTTTGCTGCAGTCTTCTGCTGCTTCTGTCTCTGCAGCAGAAGAAAAGAGCAGACATAAAAGAAAGGCTGATACTGTCTCTGTTGTCTTTGATCTACTCAGGTATATATCATTAGCTGTCTCCTTTTGCTGCTGCTGCAGTCTCAGCTGTTGCTGCTGCTGTTGCTGCTCCTGATGCATCTCTTGTTAGTGCCTCAACCGTACTGCTGCTGCTGCAGCCTTAACTGCTGCTGCTGTTGCTGCTGCTGCAGCACCATGAGTATCCCCTTCAAAAGCTGCCTGTGCTGCTGCATCCTGACTTCCTCTGGTGCTGCTTTTGCTGCTGCTTCTGCTGCTGCTGCTTCTGCTGCTGATGCTGCTGCTCTTCTGCTGCTGCTGCTGCTGCTGCTGCTGCAGGAGAAGCCGCGCTCGTATGATAGAAGAGAAGGGGTCTAAGTTTGATGGATATGTCCCCCTGGAGCACTTAGAAGCACAAGCTGCTGCAGTTGGGGTGTCTCCGCAGCAGCTGATGCAGGCTTTAGAACAATATGAAGAGCTTCTTATTATTGCCTTTAACTCTGATAGAAGAAAAATTATATTTGTCGAGGAGGCTAGAGACAGAGACAGCGACGATGATAATATTGATGTAGATGAAGAAAACTAAATAAATTTATATGCATAGAAATAAAGATAAACTAATATCAATAAATATAAATACAGATAAACATTAAGGATTAACAAATGAAGATAAACAAACAAACAAACAAAGATAAATAAACAAGCAAATCATACACAGACATATATATATATATATATATTTATATATATTTATATATATTTATATATGCCTGTATCTCAGCTAGCTAACTTCAAGTGGCTAGCTAGCTATTTGGGTGGCTATCTACACCGCTGACCAGCTATCTATATAGCTAGCTAGCTAGCTACCTGGCTAGCTAGCTCGCTAGCTACCCTAGCTAGCTTGCTAGCTAGCTAGCTAGCTAGCGAGATGCCAAGCGAGCCGTACATGTCTAGCTACCTGGCCAGCTGTCGAGGTAGGTAGCTAGCTGGCTAGCTACATGGTTAGCTAGCTATCTAGATAGCTAGCTAGCTAGCTAGATAGCTAGCTACATGGGGTATGGGGGAGGCGTTGATTTTTCTTTGAAAGGGATGCCACACCCTGAGGTGTATCCGCACCTTGAGGTGTATATACACCTTGCAGTGTACATACACCTCAAATAGACCTTTAGGTGTATATACACCTCAAGGTCTATATATACACCTATATATACACCTTGAGGTGTATATATACACCTTGAGGTGTATATATACAGCTTGAGGTGTATGTATACACCTTGAGGTGTATATATACAGCTTGGGGTGTATATGCAGCTCATGTTTACTGCACAGCTTGCATTGTACTTAATTCGTTTGTTTGTTTGTTCGTTGTATTGTGGTGGTTTTGTTTTGCATTTGTTGCTTGAAGAGAAGATGCGCTGAGGTGTATATACACCTCAATTAACTACAGAAGAAGAGGTGCTTATACACCTCGTGGCTTTGCTACTGACGAATAGCAGAGCTCCCTATACACCGCAGAGTGTGTGCATTGTTTATCAAACAAAATTTCTTTTTTATTCTAAATATTTAAATTACGTCAGCGATAACAAATTCACAAAGAACGCAGATGCAGGCCTATCAGCAAACAAATATATATATATATAATGTATACATATATATATATATATTATGTATATACATATATATAATGTATACACATACATATATATATATATATATTATGTATATACATAGTGTAAACTTACGTATTTATATACGTACGTATAT